GATACCAGTTGGGAAATTTAAAGTAGATGCATCCATTTTTTGATCTACTAATAAAAAGGAAAAGCTAAATGTGGATTGAAAGATGAAAATTTTAGAAGTGAAATATGATATGCTCTGTTGCTTATATATTCTAAAATATTTTGAGAGAAATTTGGAGAATTCTTTCTACACAGGATTATAGAAGTTGATTTAAATCTCATTAGAGGAAATTGTAGTTGTTAGCTCTGCACTAATGACCAGTAAATCAGGAGTTTAATGTATAGTTTAGAATTTCCAGTTTTGTTTCTTTCATTTGCTTTTATCATAAGATGCACAATCTAAAGATGGGACCAGAGGTAAAGGGAAAAATGAGGTTTAAAGAAGATTTCTTAACTTATTTTAATTTTCATCAAACAAGAATCTGGGTGAGAATTTACCCAAAATAATTGAACAAACCTTGAGAGTTTGAGATTTTTTGTTTGAATTTCAGTCTGCCTGAATCTGTGTTTCTTAATCTGTGTTATAAATTACTTTTCACCTTTTCACAACTGATGGCTTTCAAACTGTATCCATACCATCTCATGCCTTTCCATTGGCTCTTAATTGTATTATACTTTTAAATGGGGAAAAACAAAGTGAAAAGAATTCATATTAGTGGTTTCTGCTGACTCCAATATAATTATGGTATTAGTAACTATGCAATTTTCAGTGTTTAACTTAATTTTGGTAAAACATTTACACTAATTATTATATTATCCTATTAAATTTCTCCAAGTCCTTATGAATGTCCTCACTTAATGCTTGAATAAGCTGTGCATTGGAAAGCTCTGGGTGAAATAATTCACATAGACCGTGATGTAAATAGTTTCCCCTAGAGTTATGCAAACAACAGCATCTACCAGTCACAATAAATAAGCATTTGACATTGGTTAAAAGTAATAACTGAAGAGTTATGTAGTGGATTTGTCTGATTTTATAGGAGTCTACTTTATTAGTCTGCAAAGTAAAAAGCCTATTAGAATACATACATCTCCCTGAAACTTCATACCTTAAAATATATAAAGCTTCTCCATCTAATAAAATATAAGTAATTTATTCCATCAATCACTCTATATAGGTTTTTGAAAATATGGCCTAATTGATTAAATTCTGTTTTAAGCTGGTAAATAGTTTGAAGTAATAGGAATCTGGAGTATGTCACAGGAACTTAATGTTTTTCACAAACTTTTCACAACTGATGGCTTTCAAACTGTATCCATACCATCTCATGCCTTTCAATACATACATACATACA